GCTGAGATGGATAAACTTACCAAGGAGATCCAAGGAAAAGAAGAATCTGAATATTATCTAGTCTGGCAAAAATGGTATAAATGGTTAGAGGGAAGTGGAAAAAGAAGAGAAGAAGAAAGAAAGAAAAATTGAATAAAAGAAAAGATATCAATAGAGTAAAATAAAGTTTTAAATCAAATGAAATTTAAGAAAGAGACACGAGATATCAATAAAATAATATCATTATATAAGGTGAGAGAAATATTGTATATTGAAGAATATAGGATATTGATATTGTAACAATTCAGATATTATAGGTAGATGTTATAAAGATGATGTTTGTTGTAAATTGTTTTACTTGCATTTATAAATGTATTATGTGGTTTCTTAAATTAATAAAAATTAAAAAAAAAAAAAAAAATAATAATACACACAAATGAAACTTTAATTTGTTTTCCTCCTGGGAGTGTTTTATTTGCTTTTGTTTGACTTTTTTTTACTAGATCATTTTTTAAGTTGTTTACGAATCTAGTGGTCCACTTCAGAAAACTCAGTTTTACAGCAATTCTTCTCAGCCCCAAGGTGGTTATAATCGACATTCATCCATCTCTCTCTCTCCCTCTCCCTCTCCCTCCCTCCCTCCCTCTCTCTCCTAGAAGAGCAAATGGGGGTGGGAAAAAGAAACCTTATTTCATTCCATTCCATTTGCTCTCTCCCTCCCATCTCTCTGTCAGGAAAGAGACAGCTCCTACAAGAGCAAAGGGGAGTGAGGAAGAGAAACTTTGCTGAATCCCTTTCCATTCGCATCGCAGCAGTCTCAATCTGCTTTTGGGATCTCGCTGGTCGGACCTTCCTCTATACCTTTCGAACCTGCGCAACAGGCTCGGGCAAGAGCTCTGCACATCTGGCAGGCAGAATCGGACCAGGCAGGGATCGCTTGGAGTGGATATAGCAAGGAAGCCCCAAGACGAGAGCTCAGCAGCGCTGATCTGCTGGCCAGCCAGCCCTTCCCTCCCCTAGGTCCAGTGACGGAGATGGCTGTCCTCCTTCAGTCAGCCGAGCAGGAGAAAGAAGGGCAGCCAAGTGGCGGAGGGGAGAAGGCAGCGGCTGTTGCTGCGTCCACTCCGTAGCTCGCTCACGTCTCAGCAGTCCCACTTTGTCAACAGGCGAACGGATATTCAGCAAGGTGGGGGTGGGGCTGCAAGACAGAAAACTGCCTTAAGACCAGCGAAGGGACTGCAGCTTCAGGGCTCCATCTGAAGGAGCTGTATCACTTGGATAGCACCCCAAAAATGCTGTGGAGCTGCTGCCTCATAGGACGGGGGGAGGCACTCCTCTCCCTGCCGAACAGCCCCAGTGAAGGAGACACATCATCGGGGGTCTCTACCCCTGGCAGCCTCTGGGTGGCAACTCCGCCGCCACTCGGCAGACCCGTGCAGCCTGAAGGAGGCGAAGACACCAGTTAGAAAGGCGCGTTCCTCTTGCGCATCACTGAGGCTGTCAGCAGCTTGTGCAGGTCCATTAGGCTGAGGCCACCACGAGTGGGGAAAGCCAGATCCCCATCAGAGCCTTGGCTCTTCAGGTCCAACAGAGATGGGGGTGGGGAGGAGGAATGCAATCCCGGCTTTCTCCACTCGTGGTGGCCGCAGCCTAATGGACCTATGCAACCTTAAGAGGTTGCAATAAAAAATTCTTTTAGAAGCCTCTGATGATCTCAGCTGAGCCGCACCATCATCAGAGGCTTTTTTTTTTTACTTTTAAAAGTATTTTTTCAGCTGAAGAGGTTGTAGAAAAAATGCTTTTAAAAGAGAAAAAAAAAGCCTCTGATGATCGGGCAGCTCAGCTGGGCATGGGGGTGGGCAGGGATTTTTGCTACCAGTTCTCCAAACCACCCGTCATCACTACCGGGAGTATTTCACCCCTGGCCTTGTCCCAGCCACATGGGATGGAGCAGGCGTGTGATCCATATCACGTGCCTTACCAGCCCCCACCCCTCTGCCTGCTGCCGATGCAAGTGCTGCCACCACCTTGCCTGTTTCTTGGAGGGCCAGCTGCAGAGTCCCTGCTGCCAGACAGGGACCTTGCAGTCCCTGGCTGTCCCCCAGGCCCTCTGGCAGCTGCAGCGGTGAGGCACCTCTTCCCCGGGCTCCTGTCAGCCAGGAGAAGCCAGCCATGCAAGGAGAGGGTGGGAGTGGTGGGAAGAGGGGCAGGGCAGGGGGCAGGGCTGAATTCCACCACTGCGCGGGCTGGATACATTGTATCAGTGGGCCGTACCCGGCCTGCGGGCCATAGTTTGAGGACCCCTACCCTAAAAAGTGAGGATTCCTTTGTTTCTTTCTCCCTTGAAGCCCCCCCCACGCAGCCCGTTTTTGCTTCCAGGGGGCTGCAGGGAGTCTTGCTAGGCACCCCCCATGCCCCATTTTGGTCTTAGCAAGCCTTCCTGCAGGCCCTGAGAGCCAAACTGGCACTTTCAAATAGTGTTGTGGTTTAATTTTGGTCCATGCTAGCAGTAGTGAAGAAGTGAATTTCTAATGTGATGCCCCTGGAAGTAGCTGTGTATCTTGCCCTTCTCATACCATAAGAAGGCATCCCAGTTGCAGATCATGACCTTCCAATGTTAATAGTTTTATATTCCTCAGATTGACCCACTCTTTCACCATGAAAGTGCCGATGCTTGGTAATATAACTCCCAATCCAGAAGACCAAAATCTCCTCTATTTAAGATCTTGTAACAGTTTTAATTTTATTCTCGCCTTTTTCTCTTGCCGTACAAATTTTAATATCAACTTATTTAGGTTTTCAAAATATTTTCCCCCAATTTTATTGGAATCATCTGAAACAGGTATAATCTTGGCAGGATGTTCATCTTAATCATAGCTATTCTCCCCAATAGGAACAGTTGCAAGTTTTGCCAGTTTTCCAAATCCATTTTAATTTATGCTTTCAATTTGTCATAATTGTCTTCTTTGAGAGTTACACATCTTGCTGTCAATTGGATCCCTAAGTATTTAACTTTTTTTACAATTGGCATATTCATTATTCTTGTAAATTCTCTCTTTTGTTTATCTGTAACATTTTTAACAAATATTTTTGTTTTCTCTTTGTTTATTTTCAAACCTGCAACCGCCTCATATTTTTCTATCTTTGTAATTAATTTAGGTCCTGTTTATCTAAAATAAACACCAAGTTATCGGCAAAAAGCCTCTATACGCCTTCTTTTTAATTTTCATACCTTTTATTTCATTATCTTGTTGGACATTTCTGGCTAATACCTCTACAGTCAATATGAATAACAGTGGGGATAAGGGACAACCTTGCCTTGTGCCTTTTGTTATGTTAAAATTCTCAGTCATGTCACCATTCATAATCACCTTTGCTGTATGTCTATGATATAGTGTTTTGATCATATTAGTAAATTTCTCTCCAAAGTCCATATATTCTAATTGTGCAAACATGAAACCAAAAAAGTCAGAGAGTGGGTATATATTTGCAGAGCATAGGTGTGTGTCCCCCAAATGTTACCTAATCAACTTGCCAGAACAGTTCTGATCCTCTCATATTGTAATCACAGATTCAGGAATGGCATGACTTCAAATTACACTAATCCCCCTTGGGAAATGCTTTTAGTTAAAAAAAAAAGCATTGCAAAATATTGCTTTGTTTCCAGAGTTCTGCAGGCTATTTTTTACAAGTTAACTTTAATGGCTTCCTTCTAGCAATTGCCTGGCATTTTATCCTCTATCAATTATGTTTTGTTTCATATTCTTTTTAATATTGATTGTTTCCTAGTATGATTTAATTGCTTATTTGTACCCTGACTATCATTAAGTGTTCTACCTTATGATTCTTGACGAATGTGTCTTGTCTTTTTATGTACACTGAGAGCATATGCACCAAAGACAAATTCCTTGTGTGTCCAATCACACTTGGCCAATAAAGAATTCTATTCTATTCTATTCTATTCTATTCTATTCTATTCTATTCTATTCTATTCTATTCTATTCTATTCTATTCTATCACCAGCATCTCTTATGTCTGCTTATTTAATTTGGCTGATTTGACTGTGTAGACAAGATGCTTTCAATTCACTTCATTCATTCATTCATTCATTCATTCATTCATTCATTCATTCATTTCCCAGTCTCTGGCTATTTCACTTCTAGGGTCCTAGAACTGATGTTTCTGACTTACTAATGGGGTATGAGGTGGATGTGAGATGGGTACATTGCCTATGGATGTCCCATTTTGGGGATGGTTGCTGAATTCTCCAGGGCTGAGTTGGTGACCAAATCTTATCCCCAACAGACAGAATGAACCCCAATTGAACTTGGTGAATCACAAATTGTTAAAACTTTTCCTTGATCTAGTCCAAGGACTTTCCTATGGCCTGAGCAATGCTTGATCAGAAAATGAAAGGAAAGAAATGGGGATGTTATTTATATTTGCACCAATGCCCAGCCAGTAGTCAATACAGTAAATTCTCCAGTTTGAAGGCCATAAATTCCTAAGGAAATTTTACTGAGAGAGAGGTTATTATTGAGTGTAGATTAAGAGAGTTATAGAGGAAAAGAAAAAAATGCTGCATCATGACCCTTCAATTTGTCAGAAACCCATTGAAAGGACACAGTGGAGCTAGCATACTCCATTCTCATTTCTTTTGGTTACACCAAGATTCAAACTGTCCTGTCACCTTTTAATATTTTTTCAAAGGAGCTGCAGATATCAGACCCTAACCTGAACAAGAAGCAAAAGACAAAGTGACATGAAATCAAGATCCAATGTCAGGTGCTGATATGGATAAAAGGGATATTTACTTTAGAAGCACTTCCGTTGGTTACTGAAGCTCCTTTCCATTAGCAGCATCTTCTCTGGAAGATCCAGAGGGACTACAAAAGAGTGGTTATTATTCTTTTGTGTACCAACACCATGCTTTACTTTGTTTTAATTTAAAGGCACTAAAACAATCTTGAAACTTGTTTTGAAAAAATAATATACACTCACACATTCTTTGTGGTACAATATAAATTGACTTATTTTTTATTCTTATTATGGTATTTCATGGTTAGACACAAATAGTTTTAGCCAGCATTTGTACCATAAATTCAGTTTTAGCTGTCTCTAAAAACTTGGAAATTAAGATAATAATAGAGTGCATAGCCTTTTTTTGCTGTTCTTTTTCCAAATCCAAATTCTAACAAAACTTTGTTAAGTATATACTTAGTAATCATAGATAGATAGATAGATAGATAGATAGATAGATAGATAGATAGATAGATAGATAGATAGATAGATAGATAGAGATAGAGATAGAGATAGAGATAGAGATAGAGATAGAGATAGAGATAGAGATATATATGAATTTCCAGATATATCATCTAAGACAGGGATCTCCAATTGTACTTTGATAACTTCAGGCAAGGTGAGATTATACAGTCATATCACTGTATAATCAAAGTCAGTAGATACTGTACAGTACATTGAAATAATTTTCTTTCAACACTTGGCAGGCATGAAGCAACTTTAGCAACATTATTTTCTGGCCAAAATGACATCAAATAGATTTCCTTTCTTTAGCTGTATATCTTTGAAGCCAGCTGAGCTGAGGAATGAATGATACTCTGATGGGGTCCGTACTTTTCCTTCAGTATTAAGCAGCACTATGAGGGAGTACATGGCAATAGGAAAAGGCAGAGTCTTGTCTTTATCTAATGTTGGTTCCACAATTAATACTCCACCACCTGTCAAGATATAGTTAATATATAATATATAGTTTAGGAATATAATAATAATAATAATAATAATAATAATAATAATAATAATAATAATAATAATAATAATAATAATAATAATTCTTCAGATGTGACTATGTTACAATTACAACAGCATAACTACTTGACTACTAAGATCAATCATGTAAATGACCTAAGTTTAACAGAGTGGCATTAAGTTATATAGAGTAAGGCCACTTTATAAGGTACTTTGCATGCTGGATATGATTTATATAGTATCCTAAGGCAGCCATGAAGTCACTGTAGGTGTATCCTCATTTTTGCAGACACTTATGAAGATATACACCCCCTAAAGCTCTGCCCACTCCACAATCTTCTCTCTTCCCTTCCATATTGTCAGCTATCTTGCAATTTCTTTGACTGAGAAGATGCTCCTCCTAGTCTAGCTGCCATGTGCGTTCCCTATTCAAAGAGAACACCCCCCTAGAAAACAAGCCGTGGACAATTTCTTCAAGATCTAAGTTAAGTTTTTCAATAGATGAATGTGTTGGGATGCTCTTCTTCATCCTGTGATTTCCTTCACTGGAAAAAAAAAGGCAGCTTGTATATAGTATTCTTAATCCAAAGAAATTCAAGGTAGGGAAAGCAAGACAGATGATGTTCTACATTTCATAAAAGGGGAAATACAGTGAGAAGTTCTGGCATACCTGGATATGGTACAGATTATATCATGAATTAAAATACACAGATGCCAAATTGCTCCATGTAAAGCAAGTTGGAGAGAAAAGGTTTCTTGCTTCATACAATATAGAACGCTTTTCCATGAAAAAAAAAATCTGTCACTTTTTTTGGGGGGGGAATGATATCAAGTAAATATTCTGCAACAGTTTTATTTTTCTTTCTTTTAACATTATTTCTCTCATATCAGGCATCTTCCCAAGTCAATTGGTGGATACCATCGAGTCCTGATACTGGATCTAATTCTTCATCCCATTTTACACTATCTTTTGCTGGTTACAGCTTCTCCCACTATTTCTCTTTATATATAAATTTATATTTAAATTTATATAAAATGTTTTATAGATGACATTTACCACCTGCTAGGTTAGCTAAAATGTTTAAAAATATGTCTAGCAAATGTTGGAAATGTAATCAAAAGATGGGCACATTCATCATATGTGGTGGACTTTGCTAAAACAAAAAAAAGTTTTGGACAAAAATACATGTCTAGAAAAGATAATAGGGAAACATGTAGATTTTAAACCTGAACTATTTTTATTAGAGATGATATTGGAAAAATTTGATAAGAAAAGTATATATTTAGTATTACATATTTTAACAGCAGCAAGGATTTTCTTCGAAACTCAAATACATTGGCTACCTAATGAGAAGGAAGGACTCACTGTAGAGGAGCCTAATCCTGGGAAAGATTGAAGGCAAAAGAAGAATGGGACAACAGAGAATGAGGTGGCTGGATGGAGTCACTGAAGCAATAGGCGTGATCTTAAATGGACTCCAGAGGATGGTAGAAGACAGGAAAGCCTGGAGGAACATAGTCCTTGGGGTTGTGATGGGTCGGACACGACTTTGCAACAAAACAACAACAAAAGGATTATCTTCGCGCAGTATTCGAAAGATGAAGAAACATTGCAAGATAAAGAGATAATTAAGAAGATACTAGACTGTGCAGAAATGGATAGACTTACATTGAAAATCAAACGGAAAGAAGACACAGAATATTATCAAACATGGAACTTATTTTACCAGTGGTTGGAAAAAAGGGGTGGAGAGTAAGAATGGAATCTGTATTGTTAAGCAAATTAAATACCCAGACAACATGATGTTTATTAAGCACTAAGAAATGTAATTAATATTTTTTTTTTTAAAAAAAGGTCTATCTCTAATGTACAAACAAGTGAATGATGAAAAACAGAGAGATGCAACCAGGACATTGTAGAAATCATGAATGCCATAGAGTTCTGCCTAGCAGGGAGAAAAGCTATCCAGCATACTTGGGACACCCCCTTGCACTATAACTACAGTGAAGAGTTTAGAGTGTGTTTAGAGTTTATTGGATTTCTATACCGCCCTTCTCCCAGGGGACTCAGGGTGGTGTACAGCCACATTAAAACACATGAATTTATAAAATTTAAAACCAATTAAAACAAATAATCTCCTTCTCCTTCTCGCACATCAGGTTTCCCCTAGGGTGACTTCTCCTATGCAGAAAACATGTATACTCATAGGTTCCTGCCAACTCTACAGAGTGGAAGGAACAGAAGTGGGTTTCAGCAGGTTCTGACCAGTTCTGGAGAACTGGTAGCGGAAATTTTGAGTAGTTCGGAAAATTGGTAAATACCACCTCTGACTGGCCCTGCCCCCCTCAATTCTCTGAATTGAATCCCAGCTGATCGGGAGGAAATGGGGATTTTGCAGTAACCTTCCCCTGGAGTGGGGTGGGAATGGAGATTTTACAGTATCCTTCTCCTGCCACGCCTACCAAGTCATGGCCACCAAGCCACGCCCACCAAGCCACACCCACAGAACAGGATAGTAAAAAATTTTCATTTCTGGCTCAGTGGCTTACTGATGATGGCTAACGAGCCAGAAATAGATCTATATAAGTCTCTCACTAAGCAGCATAGGGCAGCATAGGGCCTGCTGGCTGCCAGAAAGAAAAAAGCCCCCAGCACACTTGGGACGCCCCCTGGCACTGTAACTACAGTGAAGAGATCTCCTTCTTCTTCTCGCACATCAGGTTTCCCCTAGGATGGCTTCTCCTATGCAGAAAAATGTATAATCATAGGTTCCTGCCAACTCTACAGAATGCAAGGAACAGAGATGGGTTCAGCAGGTTCTGACTAGTTCTAGAGAACCAGTAGCGGAAATTTTGAGTAGTTCGGAGAACCAGTAAATACCACCTCTGACTGGCCCCACTCCCATCTATTCTCTGCCTCCTGAATCCTAGCGGAGGAAATGAGGATTTTGCAGTAACCTTCCCCTGGAATGGGGTGGGAATGGAGATTTTACAGTATCCTTCCCCTGGAGTGGGGTGGGAATGGAGATTTTACAGTATCCTTCCCCTGGAGTAGGGCGGGAATGGAGATTTTATGGGATCCTTCCCCTGCCACACCCACCAAGCCATGCCCACAGAACCGGTAGTAAAAAAATTTGAAACCCACCACTGTCAAGGAAGTACAGCTACTATTCTTTCCCTTTCCTCAAATCATCGGGACTGGGCAAAAAGAGACCTATTGAGCCATTGTGCCTTTCAGCCAAGCTAGTGAGTGTGTCCAAAAATGACAGACCACTATAAGTCACTCTGATAAATATATAAATTGACTGGAAGTATGGCTATCACAACCATAATAAACAGATGTTAGTGTGCAAAATCAAGGATCCCAAAGGGAAAACTGATCAAAGATAAAAGCCTCCATGATATCTCCGCTAACCAGACCACACATCAACTTCAAAGCGAACTGGTAGCAACCCACCACTGTGAAGTATCTACAACACCTGAAGGCAAGCCCTTCCACTTATTAATTGTTCTCATTGATAGGAAGTTTCTCTTTAATTCCAAGTTGCTTCTCTCCTTGATTAGTTTCCATCCTTTGTTTCTTGTCTTGCCTTCTGGTCCTTTGAAAAATAAGTTGACACCCTCTTCTTTGTGGCAGCCCCTCAAATACTGGAATACTGTTATCATGTCACTTCTGGTTCTTCTTTTTTCTAGACTAACCATACCCAATTCCATGGTCTCCAGGCCCTTAATCATCTTATTATTTGTATGTTGAAAGAAAGTTTTTTTATTATTATCTTTGACATTTGTTGCAAGTCTTAGTTCATTCTGCGCCTTAGCTTTCCTGACTTCATTTTTGTAGATTCAGGCTATGTGCTGGTATTCTGCCTTAGTCATGTGTCCCTCTTTCCATTTTTTGTACTTATCCTTTTTGTCTTTCAGTTTATCAGGGAGATATTTGTGCAACATACTGGCTTCTTCTTGGATTTCTTGTTTTTATTTTTCAGTGGTATTGTGCTGACATGGGCTTTTATGATCATAGTTTTCAGAGTTTCCCAAATTCCTTGAGTTGTTTTTCCCTTTAAGATTTTGAATTAGGGAATCTGTCCTAGGCTCCCTCTGAGTTTGTTAAAACCATCTCTTTTAAAGTTTAAGACACTGATTGGATTTTGTTTTATTGCTTGTGTTTGCCTTATATTGAATTCTAATGTTACCTGATCGATCTCGCCCAAAGTTCTGGCAACATCAACCCCCCCCATCACTTCTTCTATTAGTAAGAATTAGGTCCAGTATAGCTTTTCCTCTAGTTCCCTCCTCTATCTTTTGAATCACAAAGTTGTTGGCTAGGTTGGTTAGGAATCTCTTCAAACTCCCACTTGCTGCAGAGTTTGTTTCCCAGTTAATATCAGTATAGTTAAAGTCTCCCTGTAGTGTGTTTCCTATATACGTTTCTTAATTGGTTAGTAAAAAGCTCATCTATTTCCTCTGCTTGGTTGGGTGGCCTGTAGTATATGCCTATAGCAATGTCATTCTTTTTTCCTTTTACCCATATGCATTCTAGAAGGTTTTCAACCTTGGTTTTGTACATTTCGTTAGAGATATAATGAACTTTTACATGCATGTACTAATAATATTATGTACTAGTACTTCAAGTTCACTTTGTTTGTTCCCTAAACTTTGAGCATTAGTATATAGGCATTTGAGTCCTTTATGGCTGATCTTGCATACATTTCTTATATCTCCGCTTTGTAACTTGTAACCTTCCCATCACTCTCTACTTCATTATGTGGTTGGTTATGTTGAGGTTTATGTTTGGAATTAAGTCTCAAAGATCCTAAAGATTGTCCTAGAGATCCTAAAGATTGATCAAAATCCCCTCCCCTCATTTGTAGTTCACTTTAAAGCTCTCCTGATATGTTGAGCCAGTTGTTTACCAAAAACATTCTTCCCAGTTTTGGTGAAGTGCAGCCCATCCCTTCCAGAAGCCCTTCGTGAAGGTAATGCAAACTATGGTCTAGGAATCCAAAGTTCTCTTGGTGGCGCTAACCTATGAGCCAGTGGTTCATTTCTAAATTCCCTTGTTCTCTCAGTATAAGTATACAAAATACTATACAAAAGTATAGAGGATTGGCTCCTCTGCCATAGTTGGCAGTTTCCATAAATACAGCAACATAGGTACATACCAGGCTTACAGACATTAAACACTTTGTTTAGCAACTGCAGGCACTTTTCATCATTCCAAGTAAACAGGATCCTGGCAAAAATGTACAAATCTGCTTCAGGAATTGGATCTTTTAAAAAATCCCCTGAAATGAAATAATTAAGATACATTTAAAAATATCATCATCCTGGAAGAATGCTTTGGTCTCCCTATCTACCATTTAAAGCAAAATAAGCTCATAATGTTCTGACATTGGCAGAAATCCTAGAATAAACTCCAGTTTACCTCCATGCAAAGTAATCCGCGATGCTTCTGAGAAGCCATGAAACTTCTTTGATGTTTCCACTACTTCAGGAAGGTCAAAAAGGGTCACAGCACAATTTGGATAGATTGCAATCAGTTCCTTAGATAAGGCACCACAGCTTCCTTGAAAAAGGACAAAATTTAAAAAAGGAACTACTGTATTTTTCAGAGTATAAGATGCACCTTAATTTTTGGGAAGGAAAATAAGAAAAAAGATGATTGGCAGGTGGATCGGCCTCCCGGAATACCCCCAATCACCTCTCAGTTCGGAGAAGTTAATTTTAGCAACAGATTCCTTGGTTGTCAACTCTATGCCTTGCTTTCTTTTCTTTTTCTTTTTTTTTTGCCTTTTTTTCTGCTTCTGAAGCCTCCAAAACACCTTCAGAAAAAAAGCCTCTGAAGCTCTGTTTGGGGGCTTTTTACTGAAGCTCTGTTTGGGGGCTTCTTTTTTGAAGCTTCATTTCTGATGCTTTTTTCAGCTTCTGAAACCTCCGTTTCAGAAGCTGGGTGGGGCTACATTCAGAGTATAAGACGCAGCCAGTTTTTCACCCTCTTTTTTACTCCGAAAAATATGGTATATAAAATAAAATTTTAAAATCTGTACTTCAAACAGTTTTTTGGTTTTACTGTTTTAAAATTCTTCAGCTACCTCTGTTACTTCAAACATCAAAGTCTGCTTTCTAGGTTCCATACAGCAATAAACAGAAATACAAGATATAATCTAATAAATATATTATCTAAATACTTTCCTTCATTTTTGTAAAATGCTTCTCTTCAGTTTTTTTCAATGGGCTAGATGTTCCATTTTTCAAAAAATCTATCCTATTAGCTATTATTTCTCTTTCTTTTTTCTATGCCTTCTTTTCATAGATACCTAAACCGTCTTTTTTCAGTGGACCCAATGAAATCTGAGCACGGTTAAAATTAATCCATCCTGCTGCCACTGCTTACAGCCCCATACAAGATTAACTTTCTTAAAGCTAATCCTTTTTTTTTTATCCTCTTAAATTACATTAGCATTCCCCCAAGTAAATTGGCTTACCTAAAATAAAAAATAACTTTTTGGTGATAAAATTAGCAATTGTTGTCCAGTATATGGGAATAAACAATGTAATGGGAAGACTATACAAAAATTCCCATACAGTTATGGTAATTCTGTGCTTCACGTTTGAGTTTCCAAGGATGAGGGTCAAAAGCACTTGATCTTTACAACGAATGTACTGGCGATTGACAGTGTCTAGTAATATTACATTAACATACTGTGCACATAAATGCATTATATGTGTGAATAGGCACCCAAAGTCCGTGGTCCAATATCAGGCCTTTAAACAGTGCATTCTGCATCCTCAAGGCATTACCAGTGCAAATGCAATTCTGTGTTGCTTTCTATCCTTAGCCAACTTCGTTCCAGACTTCAGATTTTTGTTATGTTTTTCCACATTCATACACTTTGATAATATCAATCCAGGCAAGCGGGGGGGGGGGGTGGAGAAACAGGGGGAAAAGGTGGGGGGCATCCAGGAATAATGCTTAGTTAAGCCCTTTAAAACTTAAAATTGCCAATAATTGTTAGTAAATCTTTTTAAAACAGAAAAGCTCTGAAAACAGATTTGGCAAAGTAGACTTTTAATCTCTGAAGACATAGTGTTTGTGAAATAATGTAAAAGGCCAAAGAACCCACCCACCCTCCAAATCTTCAAATGATAGAAAGTCAAATTAATAATAAATAGAAAGTCAAATTAATAATCAAGCAAAATGTCTAAGAATTTGTGATACTTACCACCTATATCATAAATGAATTCAAATTCAGAAAGATCAAATGCAGTCAGTACTTCTCTTCCATGCAAACTCCAAGCCTCATTCATATACCTGAAAAAGACTTCAATGTTTTCTTCTGACCTAGAATTGAAATTTACACAATAAACTTATAGAAAACTTATAGAAAAGAGCACCACTATACCAAAGTAAACTGTAATTTACATATTTAATCTGTAATTTACTAAGAAGAATCCAAAGATTATGAAGCCTTGATGTTCTACATCAACTTCAAAAAATTAATATTTGATATTAACTTTTTTGATATTAACTTGGTAATATGTGATAAGGGAAATCAATTCTATTTGACTAGACTACCAGAAACAAAAGCAGTCTCTATGCTAGCTCTCATTGCAGATTTCACATGCTCAGATCAAAAACCAGTTAGACTGTGTCATGAAATGTTGCTTGCACACAGATTTCACACTTTCTTCTAATCCACATCCCTGGGAGTAAGAGATGTCTGTCGGTCAACTACAGCAGTGGCCTCCAACCTTTTGGGCACCAGGGACCACTTCCATGAAGAAATGTTTTTCCACAGACTGGAGGGGGCTTGGTTTTCCATGCTGCCTGCATCCTGCAGATGGGGTTTCGCTTGTTTGCATGGCTTGGTTGCTGTCATGCCACAGACAAGTGTCGGTCCATGGACCGGGGGTTGGGGACCCCTGACCTACAGGGTCAGATTAACCCAGTCTGATATTGATATAGAAAAAAATGTTTTCATTAAAAAGGGATTGGGGAAAGAAGGACAGAGAGAGGCTGGAAAACGATACTTATTATTTCCCGCAGTCTCTGAATTCTGGAAAGTGAAACAGGTTCATTTGCTTCAGGAAACCTTTATTTATGCACATAGAATTTGTGCTATGGAGGAATTTGCACTAAATATTTTACTTCTGTTTTATGATTGGTTTCACAGTAAGTCAGATGTTTAGAGTTTTATTTTTATTATTTATTTATTTAAATGTATTGGCCACTCCTCTCCAGAGGACTTTGGATAAGAATGTTTTTTTTTTTGGTTTTGATAAGTTTTATGTTTAAATTTCTTTGTACAAGCTATGAATGGAATTATATTATTACATTTAATATAATAAATATTACATAACAGATATGATATATGATATATAATAAATATTACATAACTTGTCATGTTTTCTCTCTGATGATTAACAAGTCAAAATAATGTTAATAATACAACCTTCTGTTTAGAATTTAGATTTGGTGAACAGAAGAAGATATAATATCATAAATATCAGAACTACTATAGTATACTATAGTATAGTATAGTATACTATACTATACTATACTATACTATACTATACTATACTATACTATACTATACTATACTATACTATACTATACTATACTATACATTATTTTATACATTATATTATACCATACATTGTTATGTTATATATTGTTATACCGTACATTGTTATGTTACATTATTATAAATATAATATAATGTAATATTATGGCCAGTTCGCTCCCACAGAGAGGGCGTCCTCAGGGTGCTGTCAGCCAGACAATGTTGGCTGGCGACCCCCAAGGGGAGAGCCTTCTCTGTGGTGGCACCTACCCTCTGGAACGATCTACCTCCAGAGATACGAGTGATCTCAGACTTCCTGACTTTTCGTCGGGCCCTAAAAACTTACTTTTTTCAGCTAGCTGGGCTGGCCTGATTCCCTGTTAGTTTTAACATTTGATATTGTTTTTTATTGATATGTTTTAAATTATGGGCCAAATTCTATTTAATTAGTTTTAAATAATTATTTTAACTTTTGTGTACAAATGTTTTCATTTTAGCTGTTCACCGCCCTGAGTCCGAAAGGAGAAGGGCGGAATACAAATTTAATAAATAAATAAAATAAATTATAATATGCTATATCTTCTGTTCACCAAATCTCTAGATTCTAAATAGAAGGCTATATTATTAATATTAGATTAACAAATATATATCCTCGAATTTCGATTTTCCATGCAAATTTATCATCATTTCCTTTATTTCCAAACACATCGTCTTCATCAGTTCGTTAAGTTCCTGTTCCATTTTATTCTTTCTGAGTTGCTATTATTCCAGTTTTAAGTCACATTACAGTCCTTTTTTAAAAATCATCAAAGTCTATCCTCTTATAGGCAAAACATAGCATCCTTAGTTCTTGCCAGTTATCGTTTTAAAAGTTCAAGGTTTTTTCAAAACAGACAATTCCATGTTATGCTCTTCTTTCTCCTATAGATGTCTCTCTATAATCCACTGTTCCACTCAGCTAATTAACAAATCGCTATTTTATTTGTAATCCACATCTGTTTTTACCAAATCCATAAAGAAAAAAACCCATTTTTCACTTCTTCTCTCACTTTTATATACAACCAATCAGTTTGTAATCCAATCCAAATTAAATACAAATTCTAAATTTACATTTCCATTTATCAATCACTTTTAATTCTTTACTCGGGTTCTTCTATGGCGCGCTTGTCATTCTCACTTTCTCTCTCCATCCGCCATCTCCCCCTGTCACTATTTAGCCACTATTTCCACGCCGGGGTAATTTTGGTAGTATAAAATATTTAAAATTTTCTTTTTATTGTCTCTGGGTTAGCCAATCACTCACCCAACACCAATACTTTGTCCAAATCTTCCCTCCTGCACATCGCTTGCTCCAAAGGCTCTAGCTTCATGGCGATTCACCCTGATCGCCACCCCCCGTCACCGGTTCGGAGATTTTCTCGGGCTATCCAAGGAACTTGCCTGTTCCTCTTTAGTCACCGAGCTACCTCTCCTTCTTCACTGTCCCTACAGGACAGTTTCAGTCCTAACACACACACACACACACACACACACACACACACACACACACACCCCTGGCGTCAGTTCATCTGGCTGGATTTTGCCAAGCTCGTTGGAGCCCGGCATTTTCCCAGCCAGTCATGCCGCGCTGCTTCCGGATGCAAGAATGCACTGAAGATGAAAAGGAAATGACTTATTTATTTATTTATTTATTTATTTATTTATTTATTTATTTATTTATTTATTATATTTCTATACCACCTTTCTCCCGTAGGACTCAAGGCGGTGTACAGTCAAGAAAAATATAGACACACAAACATCATAAAATTGCTAATTAAAATTATTACTTAGTTTGGTCAATTGAATAAAACCCAGAATTAGATAACATTTAAAAGAAAAATCATTCACATGTTCATATGTTTAGCCCCACCTGTTGAAACATCAGGGTCTTGAGGGCACGGCAGAAAGCACGGAGATCAGGGATATTTCATATCTCCGGGGGCAGTTCATTCCAAAGGATTGGAGCCCTCACAGAGAAGGCCCTCCCCCTGGGAGTCGCCAGTCGCCAGTTTAAATGTGATAACTAACACCTTGAATCGCACACGGAAGACCACCGGGAGCCAGTGCAACTCGCGTAGGAGAGGTGTTACATGGGCGTAACGAGCTGCGCCCATAATCACCTGCGCGGCTATGTTCTGGACCAGTTGGAGCCTCCGGGTGCTTTTCAAGGGGAGCCCCATGTAGAGAGCATTACAGTAGTTCATACGGGAGGTAACTAGGGCATGAGTGACCATGTGCAAGGCGTCCCGATCCAGAAAGGGACGCAACTGGTGGATCAGGCGAACCTGATAAAAGGCACCCCTGGCCACGGCCATCAAATGATCTTCTAAAGATAGCCGTGAATCCAGGAGGACACCCAAGTTGCGGGCCCTCTCTGTGGGGAGCAAGATCTCATCCCCTATTGTCAGTGATGGTACCAGCTGACTATATCGGGACGCCGGAAGCCACAGCCATTCGGTCTTGGAGGGGTTGAGTCTGAGCTTGTTTCTCCCCATCCAGATCCGCACGGCCTCCAGGCAATGGGACATCACAGCAAGGGCATCATTGGGGTGGTCTGGGGTGGAGATGTATAGCTATGTGTCATCAGCATACTGATGAACACTCACCCCGAAACCACGGATGATCTCGCCTAGCGGTTTTACATAAATGTTGAACAGAAGGGGTGAGAGGACTGGCCCTTGCGGCACCCCACAAATAAGGTGCCTTGAGGTCGACCTCTGCCCCCCTGCCAACACAAACTGCGAACGGTCAGAGAGGAAGGAGGAGAACCACTAAAGCACGGTGCCCCCTTTTCCTAACACCTCCAGCCGGTGCAGTAAGATACCATGGTTGATGGTATCAAAAGCTGCCGAGAGATCTAATAGGACCAGGAAAGAGGAGCAACCTCTGTCCCGAGCCGTCCAGAGATCATCCACCAACGCGACCAATGCCGTTTCCGTGCTGTATCATGACCTGAAGCCTGACTGGAATGGATCCAGATAGACAACTTCATCCAGGTATCGGGGTAGTTGTCGCGCCACCACACTCTCAACAACCTTCGCAACAAAGCGAAGATTGGAGATTGGACGATAATTTGATAATATAGCCGGGTCCAGGGAAGGCTACTTGAGGAGGGGCTTCACAACCGCCTCTTTCAAGGTGGCGGGAAAGACACCCTCACTCAGAGAAGCATTTATAATCCCCTGGAGCTAGCCTCGTGTAACCTCCCGGGAGGCCAGTACCAACCAGGAGGGACACGGGTCCAATAAACATGTGGCAGCATTAAGCTTGCCCAGAATCCTGTCCACAGGAGTCACAGAGTCAAACTCTTCCCAGATAACGCTCTCAAGACCTGCCCCCGTCTCCTCCCCTGGATCTACCCAATCGGAATCCAGGCCTTCCCGAATCTGAGCGACTTTATCATGCAGGAATTGTACAAAATCCTCAGCTCGACCTTCTAAGGGATCTTCCTGTACCCCCACCTGAAGTAGGGAGTGGGTCACCCTTAACAGCGCGGCGGGGCGGTTCTCTGCAGATGCAATAAGAGCGGAGAAGTAGCTAGACTTTGCCGCTCTTGTCGCCACTAGGTAGGTCTTAATATAAGATCCCACCTGTGTTCGGTCAGATTCAGATCGGCTTGTCCTCCAATTGCTCTCCAGGAGTCTTTTCCGACGCTTCATCTCTCTCAGCTCCTCGGAAAACCAAGGAGCTAGACGAGATCGGCATCAGGTCAGAGGCCACAAAGGCACGACGCGGTCCA